TTCTGCAGGCGATAACACTCGAACCGATTTGCGGATCTGGCGTTTCCAGCAAACGCTTCTTTACTGGAATTGCCTTTGTGGGAGTTGACTTGCTAATTTCACCTTGTATCGATTCCTGGACGAATGAATTCAGTGATCCAAGATTTCGAATCATGCGAGCACAAGGATTACTAACGTGACTGGAATACTTCTCACATTTTAACTTTCTGGCACCCTTGCAGTCCTTCCTTTTAGACGGATTGAGTAGAAATATAGCTTGATTATAAACTACCAAATTTAATTCTTCGAGATTTCTCCGTTCCCACCGTGTGCTTGATGTTTCAGACATATTTTGACAAGTAGAGTTTATTTTGGTTCAAAGTTCACTTCTGCTATGGAAGGCCGAAGATTTTATTGGTTAATTTATGACAGCCGATGACAGCATGAAATCTCAGTGTGTGCACTCAGGCATGAAAGGCCAAGTGGGTGGTTTTCAAAATCCAGGGGTTTGTCTGCAAGCGTTTCCTTCCTTCCTTCCCTTCCCTCTCCCCCTTCTTTTACTCGCTCCATTTTTCGTGCTGTAATTCTTTGCTCCCGAACCCCACACAAACGCTTGCTACGCAGGCTAAATTTTTATTTCACTTGAACATGAAAGCTCAGAGATGTTGATTTCCCTTAAAAAAAAAACACTTAACATGTTAATTTCATGTCAACGGACGACCTCAAGGATGCTTTTTTCACTTAAGAAACAGTTAAATGTTGATTTCAAGCAAATACATGACCACAGAAATGCTCATTTCACTTAAAGTGCCACTACCCCCGATTTTTTTTTGCTTTAATAAAATCTGCTAGTTTCCCTGATCACTTCAGCGAAAAAAATTATCTCGATTGATAATTTCCCTGCATTTCTACAGGCATTTGAACATGTAATTTCTATGTTCACGACCGTGCAAAGTGGGATCTGGGTTGGGCTACTAGTGACGTCACTTCGGGAACTGGGCTAAAACACTCAAGACTTTTGACTGAGCTTCAAGGGCTGTCAGAACATTTTTGGGTTATTTGTGATTCATATTTTATCAAAACTGGACAAGATTTTAAAGTGAAAGAACTGTATCATCTAGCATTACAATTCGGAGGGTAGCTACGATTTGGACGGCTGCAATGTATATGTGACCTTCTTTGGGAAAACAGACACTAACGCTTTTTCGTTAAACGGTCAAGAAAAACAGTTCTAAACGGATACTAAATGGCTGACTCAAGCGTTTAAACGGCTTCCATAACCGTTTAAACGGATAGCAAAAAATTTAAACGGTTGACCAAAGTCAGAAAACGGATAGCTTAAAGCGTTAAACGGTCAACCAAAAAAACAAACAGTTAGCTTGAAACATTAAACAGTTGACCAAAGTCCAAAAATGGATAGCTTGAACCGTTAAACGGTTAACCAAAGTCCACAAACGGACAGCTTAAACGGTTGAACGGTTAACCAAAGTTCACAAACGCACAGCTTAAACAGTTGAACGGTTAAGTCGGCGAGATCGTTTCAGGAAAAACTAGCAGTCTTACAATGTTAAACGGATATCTTTAAGTGCAACCATGGAGCATGAAAACTGTAGATTGTTAAGGATACATTCTGCGAACGAAAAAAGTACTGTCGTATCTGATGAACTTTAGTCGGGTGACTTCAAAATTCATTTGTTTTGCTTTCTCGCTTCTGCATTCTATTTCTAGGTAAACTTTTGCCGCTTTCGTGCGACTTTAGGTTGATTCTCTTCCCTGACATTATTTTGGTGATTTAAGCGCAAGTTACAAAGAACAGTTTCGCTGCCAATATCTTAACCTGAACGGCTAGTGAAAGAAACGCTAAAATAACAAAACCCGTAACCTCTGGAAGCAAATTATACGTAACGTCATTGACAAGAAAATTTTTCACTTCATGCGTTCAACAGGCGCAACGAACTTTTTATACCGTCATAAAACCTGTGATAATAACCATCGCAAATTGAGACTCCAGGTTTTAATCACAATCTCCTTTGTTCATTGTTGTTTTGGTTTGAAGTTGCACGAAACAAATTTGCATACGCAATGAACTGCAAATGCCATGACCTTGTCAGAAGCCGAGACGCTTCAGGGTCAAATAATGCAATACGCGAGAAATGATTCGCTTTCTAAAGAAATTTTGAAGTTTCAAGATTACAAATTTTGGACCTTTTTGTTTCAACCATAGCTATCGAAACGGAATGCGCCACAATGAAAACTTGACGGCAGTATCGGCGTCCTTGCGGCTATTCGCCAGCTTCCTGCTAGCTTAAATTCATAGCCCAGGTGCAAGATTTTTATCTTCTCCAGTTTATCACTGTGGTGTCGATCAAACGGTGAAAAGCTTCAGGAGAACAAGCGGTTAGTTACAGCAAGTTCCTAGACTTGGGCAACAGTTTTGTCCGAAAGTTGTTTTGGCGAAACCCATGACCAATCTATGCTTGACATGTCAACAGAACACCACCAAGCTTGTATGGGCCGCAAACCTTCCTGAGCACAAAAAGGCTGACTGTATTAAAGCACAGCAAGAGCATTTGGACTGCGCCCAGGTCGAGAGAGAGTTTTACAGGAAAACTTGCTCAGATGCAGCCACGACTTTCAGTCAAACAGATGCGGAGAGGAATCTAAACGAAACGCATGAACCATGTTCATTCAATGGCGCAATGCACTACTCCTTTGACTATGCACAACAAGTGCACTTTCCAAGTAACCCAATGCAACCTGGACCGATCTATTTTAAGACCCCAAGAAAGTGTGGGATTTTTGGAGTTATGTGTGAAGCTGTACCGCGTCAAGTGAACTATTTGATTGATGAAGCTGGTGCAGTTGGTAAAGGAGCCAACGCAGCCATTAGTTACGTTCACCACTTTTTCGCTCATCACGGCCTCAGGGAAACAGACGTTCACTTACAAGCTGACAATTGTGCCGGACAAAATAAAAACAATTACTTTTTGTGGTACATGTATTTAGCATGGAGGATTGCCACTGGACTTCACCAGTCTATCAAGTACTCTTTCCTAATTGCTGGACTTACTAAATTTGGTCCGGATCGTTGCTTTGGAATCCTGAAAAAGGCCTACAAGGTCAGTTTCATTTCGTCAATTTATGAACTTGCTCGAATGGTGGACACTTCAAGCAACACAGGGATGAACAAAGCCCAGCTAGTAACGACGCACGATGGCCGTGTTATAGTTCCTCCGTACGACTGGTGTACTTTTCTGAGACACTATTTCAAAAAAATCGCAAACGTAAAAAAATTTCACCATTTCAGATTTTCCAAGGATGAACCAGGTGTTGTTTACTGCCGAGAATACTTGACATCCCCGGAACAAAAGTGTGCCTTACTGAAGGATGGTGCTGTGATCCCACCTGCTTCTGTTCTTCCGCAAAAGATCAACCCAGAAGGATTAAGTGACGAACGCAGAAACTACTTACATCGCGAAATAAGACAGTTTTGCAAACCTGGAACTGAAGATTTAGTTGCACCAGTTCCATAAGTTAATCATTGTTTCGAACTTGACCAGTGCTATGCTATGTAACAAATTGGCTTTAGTATTTACTATTCTTTCTATTAAATTCAAACTTAAGCTGTAAGAGAATTAAATGATGCTTACGTAGGTAGTTATTGTACATACACCATCGTTTACTAATGAAATAAATGAAGTTGTATACTGAAATTATTTTGG